CTGTGAAAAATACCATTGGTACCTTGATAGTGATTGCATTGAATCTATAGATTGCTTTGGGTAGTATACTCATTTCACAATATCCATGTCCAGTTCTAACTGTTGCTTATTGACCTGCAAATAGATTTCTCAGGAGGCAGGTAAGGTGGTCTGGTATTCCTATCTCTTTCAGAATTTTCCACAGTTTGTTGTGATCCACACAGTCAAAGGTTTTGGCATAGTCAATAAAACAGAAGTAGATGTTTTTCTGGAACTCTCTTGCTTTTTCTATGATTCAGTGGATGTTGGTGATTTGATTTCTGGTTCCTCTGCCTTTTCTAAATCAAGCTTGAACATCTTAAAGTTCATGGTTCATATACTGTTGAAGCCTCACTTGAAGAATTTTGAGCATTACTTTTCTAGCATGTGATATGAGTGCAACTGTGTGGTAGTTTGAGCATTCCTTGGGATTGGAATGAAAACTGACCTGTTCCAGTCCTGTGACCACTGCTGAGTTTTCCAATTTTGCTGGTGTATTGAGTGCAGCACTTTCATAGCAACATCTTTTGGGATTTGAAATAGCTCAACTGGAATTCCATCACCTCCACTACCTTTGTTCATAGTGATGGTTCCTAAGGCCTATTTGACTTTGTATTCCAGGATGTCTGGCTCTAGGTGAGTGATCACACCACTGTGGTTATCTGGGTCATGAAGATCTTTTTTGTATAGTTCTTCTGTGCATTCTTGCCACCTCTTCTTAATATCTTCTGCTTCTGTTAGGTCCATAACACTTCTGTTCTTTATTATGCCCATCTTTTCATGAAATTTTCCCTTAGTATCTCTAATTTTCTTGAAGAGATCTCTAGCCTTTCCCATTCTATGTTGTCCTCTATTTCTTTGCATTGATCACTTAGGCTTTCTTATCTTTCCTTGATATTCTTTGGAACTCTGCATTCAGATGGGTATATCTTACCTTTTCTCCTTTGCCTTTAGCTTTTTTTGATCTACACTTTATCACTGTCCAATGTCTGGATAAACTGTATAGACCATTAATTACAGCAAATGTATTCATGCAACCCACAGCACTGATTGATCCTCTATTATGTACCAGAGACTATGGTATCTATTTAAGATATAACAGTAAGAGAAAATATACATGACCTCTACCTTTAGTGAAATTACAGCCTATTGCAGGAGGAACACATTAATAAAATAATCACTCAAGTTAATTTCAAATCACAAGTATATGTTCTGTATAAAGGCACAAAGATAATAGTAAATTTCTTGTTAAAACCAAACCTATTTTTAAAAAAAAAACAGGTCAACATCACTAAAGTACTGAAAGAAAAAATCCTAGGAAATCCATGCCTAGCAAAAACATCTTTCAAATATGAAAGTGAAATAGTTACATTATATGTAAATGGTCAAAATATCCCAATTAAAAGGCAGAGAGTTTTAGATTGGCATAAAAAACCATGCTGCCCACTCAGAAAAGCACTTTAAATATAAAGGCACAAGTACATTGTAAGTAAAAGGATGGAAAAAGATATTCTATGTTAATGACAGTCAAAAGAAGACTAGAGTGATGATGTTAATATCAGACAGTGTTCATTTCAGAGCAAAAAGTATTGCCAGGGATAAAGAAGGTCACCTAATAATAAAGGGTTAGAATAAAATTTGAAACAGTTAATTAATATGACATAAAATCCTTAAATTTTTACATACCCAATTACAGACTTTTGAAATATATGAAGTAATAATTGATAGAACTTCATGGGGAAATAGATAAACCTGCAATTATAGAGGGAGATTTCAAATTTCCTTTCTCAGTAATTGATAGCAGAAGTAAAGAGAACAACAGCAAGGATACAGCAACCTGAACACCATGACCACTTGACTTCATTCGTTCTTACATAATACTCTACCCAATAACAGAAGACACATTCTTTTTGAGGACATCAAAACACTTACCATGAAAGACCATATACTAGATCATAAAATAAGTTTCAACAAATGTTAAAGGATTTAAGTCACAGAAATAATGTGTGCTGACCACAGTGAAATTGAGTTAGAAGTCAATAATATACATACACCTGCCTGCAAAATGTTCAGACACTTTGAAACATAATGCATTCCTGAGCAGCACCAGTCATTCAAGAAATCAGGAAGTTAGACCACACTCTGAACTTACTGAAAATGAAAAGATATATGAGAGTGTGCGGGATGCTGCTAAAGCAGAAGGTAAGGGGAACTTTTAACACTGTATCCATGCAGAATGAAACAAAAATCCAATTTCATCCCATCAGCAAGAGGAAGCTACTCAATATTCTAAGCAGGGGGATGACATAATGAGATTTCAGTTGTTTACACGCCATTCTGTCCAGCACTAAAACATATGAGGCAACCAGAACTCTCACTCACCGCTCTGGGAGGAAAACATGGTACAACCACTTTGAAATAAAGAGTGGTAGTTTCTTATGAGACTAAAAAATACAAAACTTCGGCCCAGTAATTCTGCTCATAATTACTTACTGAAAAGAAACAAAGGTTCAGTCATGTCCGACTCTGCGACACCTCAGACTGCAGCCTGCCAGGCTCCTCTGTCCATGTGATTTCCCAGGCAAGATACTGGAGTGAGTAGCCATTTCTTTCTCCAGTGGATCTTCCTGACCAAGGGTCGAACCCATGTCTCCTGCTTGGCAGGTGGATTCTTTACCACTGAGCCACCAGAAACAAAAACAGGTGTGTGTGTGTGTGTGTGTATCTGTGTGTGTGTGTGTGTGTGTGTGTGTGTGTGTGTGTGTGTGTATATATATATATATATATATATATATATATTCATAAAAGCTCTATTCCTAATAGCCAAAGTTATAAAAGATGTTACCAAACCACATGCAAAACAATAAAACTGAACAATTTTCTTACACTACTCAAAAAATTAACTCAAAATGGGTTGAAGATTTACATATAAAACCTGAAAGACCTGAGGCCATAAAATTCTTAGATGAAAACATAGGAAACAAATTCCTTGCCATAGGTCTTGGCAATGATCTTTTTGGATATGACACCTAAAGCACAAGCAACAAAATAAAAAATAAACAAGTTGGACTATATCAAACTAAAGTTTTCTGCACAACAAAAGAAACAGTCAACTTGAAAAGGTAACCTACTGAGTGGGAGAAAATATTTGTAAATCATATATCTGATAAAGGGCTGATACCCAAAATTTGTAAAGACCTGATAAAACTCAATAGCGAACAAGCAATCCAAATGAAAAATGAATTCAAATTAAATGAACAAAGGACCTGAATAGACATTTTTTTCCAAAGAAGATATTCGAATGGACGAGAGATATGTGAACAGATAGTCAACATCACTGACCACTAGGGAATGAAAATAAAAACCACAATAAGGCACCACTCCACACCTGTTAGAATAGCTACCATTAAACAAAACAAAGAGATAACAGATGCTCGCAGGGATGTGGACAAAAGGGAATCTTGGTTCACTTCTGGCAGGACTGTAAATTGGTTCCATCACCATGGAACAGTATGGAGGGTCCTCAAAAATTAAATAGAGAGTTATCATAAGATCCAGCACACCACTTATGGGCATATACCCAAAGGAAATGACATCACTCTGTCAAATGTAGTGTAAGAAAAAATATATATAAGAAAAATCTTTCTTTAAAAGGAAGGAAATCCTACCATTTGCTACAGCATGAAGGGACATTGAGGGCATTATGCTAAGTGAAGTAAGTCAGACAGAGATATATACTGTATGATCTCACTTAAACGTGGAATCTAAAAACCCTTACAAACTCATAGAGAAAGAGATCAGATTTGAGGTTACTGGAGGCAGGGGTGGGACTGGGGGTAGAAGGAAGGGGGTCAAAAGTCACAAGCTTGCAGTTATAAGCAAGTCCTGGGATGAACATACAGGAACACAAGTGTCAGGTACACTGGGAAGCTGCTGAGGTTGTAGATCCCAAAAGTTCTCATCACAAGAAAAAGGTTTTTTTCTTTCTCTCATTTTTTCTTGTATCTGCATCAAATGATCCACTTGGCTGGGGCTGAAGGTGGTCTTTCACCTGTCATGCAAGCCCTTGAGGACCTCCAGGTCTACCAGGGATGCCTCTGAGGTCCAGTGTCACATAAGCACTCACAGCAGTGGGCCTGGGGTTCAGCACTGAGGCAGTAACTGCAGCTCCACATTTGGTACCCTGCAACTATTAAGGATAAATGTGCCCTTTTCTTAAAGAAGAAAAAGTAAATAAAACCACACCTCCTTCTGCAGGTCATTAGGTGGAAGGCTGGATTCCGCTGTCTCTCTCCGTCCCTGGGAGCCAGGACTAGGAGCTCCCAGACATGGCAAAGAGCACCGCATCTTGTGTTTTCCCCACATGCCAAGGGGTGTCTGATTGGAGAATCGGGGCTTGGGGGGCCCCACATCAGAAAGTACCAGGCAGTGTGCACATTGGGTGAGTCTGACTCCTGGAACTCCCCAGCACATGACCCCTGGCCCAGGAATGGGAAGGGGCCAGCCACAGCACCAGGTGCCAGGTGCTGGGAAAACTAGTCAGCAAGGTGCTGGAGGGGGGGCTGAGGGACTCTGCCTGCCTCCTGCCCTTCCTCCTCACCCCTGCTATCTCTCTCATTACCCCTTTAACACCCCCCCCCCACGTTGAAGCCCTGATAGCATCCATCCTTAGGGCTTTGGAACGCTTAGTTAAGGACCGCCTGGAACACCGGCAGCGCCCCCAGAATCACACATTACAGGTAAAGTGTTGTCCCTCAGTCGGGTCCGACTCTCTGTGACCCCATGGACTGTAGCCCACCAGGCTCCTCTGTCCATGGGATTCTCCAGGCAAGAAGACTACAGTGGGTGGCCATTTCTCCATTACAGGTAAGTCTACCACATCAGCTACCTTCTCGCTCTTTGCCTCTTGCATCAGACTCTCAACATCCTATTTTGAAACTCGCTGCTTGGCCTGCAAAGTCCACATCAGCCACTTCCCTTCTTTACTGGACTCCGAAAAACACTTGCCTGAGCGCCACCTTGACATCCTTGTTCCGCAGTGAGTAGATGAGGGGGTTCAGGCTGGGGCTGACGACTGTGTACAGCACGGCGACAACTTTGCCATTTTCCAAGGAGGAGCCGGACCCCGGGAGGATGTAGGTGTAGATGACGGTGGAGTAGTACAAGGTGACCACCAGGAGGTGGGAGGAGCAGGTGGAGAAGGCGCGCTGCTTGCCCGAGGCCGAGCGCATGCGCAGGATGCTGGCGATGACGCAGCAGTAGGACGCCATGGTGAGCAGGAAGTTGACCACCCCGAAGTAGACGTCCGCGACTACTATCATGACGTTGTTCAGCGTGGTTGGGCTGCAGGAGAGCCGCAGCAGCGTGGGGACTTCACAGAGAAAATGCTGGATCTGATTGGGGCCGCAGAATGTCAGCCTTGTCATCAGGGCTGTGTGCACGGACGTGCTGATCGCACTGACTGCCCACACGCTGCCGGCCAGCAGGGCGCAGACAGGCCGGCCCATCCACGAGCTGTAGTGCAGCGGGCGGCAGATGGCCACGTAGCGGTCGTAGGCCATGACCGTCAGCAGCAGCAGCTCGGCCCCCAGAAACCAGGTCAGGAAGAAGAGCTGAGTCAGGCATCCCTGATAGGAAATGGTGCCACCCTTGACCGCCAGGTTCTCCAGCAATTTGGGGAGAACTGTAGACGTGCAGACGATGTCTAAAACGGCCAGGTTGGTGAGAAAGAAGTACATTGGGGTATGGAGGCCTGGGTACAGGCTGATGGCCGTGACAATGAGGGTGTTCCCTGCAAGAGCCCCCAGAAAAAGAAGGAGGAACAAGACCAGGAAGAGACGCCGGAGCCCAGGCTCCTCTGAGAAACTCTGCAGGGCAAACACCTCCACAGCTGAGCGGTTGTGTGTGTCCATGCCGTGGTCGAGCCCTTGCAGCCTCTAGGACACGGCCGACCTGGCACAGGAGACATGGGGTGGGGGAGGCAGTGCTGCGCAAAGTTTGCTGTTTGCAGCTTTGCTGCGGAAAGCGCATAATTAAGATACCAGCCAAGGTCCCAGCACCCAGGGAGACCTTCGGGGAAGGTACTCCACTCTGCCCCCTGGTGGCCCCATCAGCCCCACAGACACCCCATCTCACGACCACCTCCACCCCTCCCTGGCCCACACAAAAGGGAAGTCTGGTCCTCCTTGCTTTGGTTTTGAACACTTCCTGCAGCAGCCAGAGATGTGGAAGCTGTCTACTGCATGTGTTCTGGGCCCACCACAGTGTGGGGTGGTCCCTATCAAGGCCGGCACAGAACTCCAGGTTCCCAAAAGGAAAACCCAGTCAACTGGGTCGGGGATTAGAGAAGGGAGGGAAGTTTTACCCTTGCCAGCTGCAAAGTGGGTGCTCACAAGGGAGTACAGGGTCTTGGAGGGGAATGAGCGGCCGAGAGCACAAAGGCGCTAGCTCTTTGGGGAAGGTCACCCTCAGCTGTTGGAGTCAGCTGTGGACGGATCTGGCCACAGCCCATTACTTGCAATCGCAGCTGCCCAGCCCTGCCTGGGCTACTCCCGGCTGCGCCCTCAGGTGGGGCAGACTCAGTGAGACCGAGGAGTCTGTGTCATCAGGGCTCGTGGTTCTGACTCCATCCCTCACTCCCCACCTGGGTGAGGGGCAGGCTGGACTGGGGGCTGGGACACAGGAAGGAAGGACACACACAGGTCAACATGGCCACAGGACCCCCAGCTTTTACGCTAACCCAGCTCCGTGGCCGCCCCCACAGCCTAGCACACCTGTCCCCCAGCCCTCTGGGACCACCAGGCCTCCCTGAGTCCAGTTCAGTTGAAGAGACCATCTTCCTTGTGCCTGTGAGCAGTTAGATCAGTGTGCTCAGGGGGAGAGAGGCCACCATGCCTGCCTCCCTGTTGCCAGCCCCAGGCAGCCCCAGGCAGCCCCAGAGGATGTTATGACCTGCCCTGGGGGTTTAGGAGGGCTGAACCCTAACCCTACCTGGAAACAAGTGTCAACAACACAGGAAGGCTTGTCATTCCTGTGGAATACACGCAAAGACATGTGATTTGCAGATGTGTGTCCTCAGCTGCAATCCGTGGTGAAGCTCCAGGGCGGGGAGGGAGCTGGCCGCCAGGTGGCCTTGCCAGCCACTCCTCTAGCCCTCTCACCCTCACTGCTCCCACCCCTGCAGAGCTGAGGTGCCGCTGAGGTGCAGGACGGGTTCCCGTTGCTGGTCACTGTGGGCCCTGTCCAGTGCCACACGCCACACACACCCCTTCTTAGCAGTCACCTGCCATTCGTAGGCATGCGCCCCCAAAGCCCCCCTGGCCACAGCTGAGCCACCTGCGTCCCCTCTGGCTATGTTGGCTGGCTGCCCGCTGAGCTTCACCTCCGATTCATGGAACCCCAGCTGGCTCAGGGGCCTCAGGACCTGGTTTTTCTTAAAGAGCTTGACCTGTTTAGAAACCTAGCCACACTGCTGGGTTCCTTCCTCCTACTGATCTGGGACAAAGATAGGTCACAGACAAGCAGATGTGCTGCAGATTCCTGGAATGTTAGTTTCAGGCTGGGGTGGTGAAAGAGAAGCAAAGCAATTTTGGCATCACTTTTTCCACAATAAAATAGGTCAGGACAAAAACAAATCTGTCTTTTGCAGAAACATCAAAAGGAAAACTAGGGAAGGTGGTCCCAAAGGCATGAAGAGACAAGGACAGAGTTACTCACTGTGAATGTCCGTAGTGATCCTCTGCTCAGCTCCTGTCCTAAAGAGACGACGTTTACATTTTCACGGAAAAATACAAGAAATTCTTCCTCTGGTGGAAGACTAGACATAACCTGAAGCCCATCTCCCAGTTCAGTGGCTCCTTTGTCTGCTGCTGACCTTTAAAAAGAGTCCGTCCCCTGGGGTGGACGCTGAGGCTTGAGGGAGCGAGGAGCACCACCAGACACATCTCTCGGGGAGCAATTACCCCTCCTGCAGGCAAACGAGGGCCTCTGTGGGCACAGTCCCCAAGCTGAGCAGAACCAGGGCCCCAATGGGCACAGAGAAGGGCCAGGGTGCCTGGTGCCACAGGGGCGGGGCTCGGGGCAGCAGGGCTCAGTGTGAACACAGCGTTAGCTGGCGGCTTCTCTGCCAAGGGTCTCTCCCATGTATAAGACAGGAGCTGTGTACAACCAGATCCTGTGAGAACGATGGGTTTCATCTTAAATAGATTTAATTTTTAAAACAGCTTTTAGATTTCAGTCCGGGAGTTCCCTTAAGCGCCTGCGCGGTTTCCCTGGATGTTTAAGCCTCGCTTTCGTGTGGTGTACCTGTTACATTGGTGAGCCACACTGACGTTATCAGCTCAAGTCCAGTTCATCCAGGCTGTGCTGCTTTTCACTCAGCGTCCTTTTTCTGTCCCAGGAGCTCATCAGGACACATGACATTTAGGGTTCTCTTGGCTGACAGTGTCTCAGACTTTCCTAGTTTTTGGTGACCTTGGCAGTTTTGAGGGGTGCTGACCAGGCATTTTATAGACATTCCACTGTTGGGACTTGGCTGCTTTTCTTGTGATCAGACTAGGGTGAAGGGTTTGGGAGGAAATCACAGAAGTGAGGAGCCATCCTCAACACATCATATCAGAAGACATACTATCAACTAGACTTTCACCGCTGATATCAGCCTCAACAAGATGTCTGTGGCTTCTGAGAAGATAAAAAGCAAGTGTCATTTCAAGAAGCCACTCTCAAAAGGCTGAGGTTGCCAACTGCAGTGCCAGCATATGTAGGAAGCAGCTGTTTGCTGAGCCTGGGCAACAAACGGGGTCAGGAGGGAAGCAGAGGAAGGTGTGACCCCTACCCCGCTCAGTGCCCACCCAGCACCCAGGGCCTCGGAGCCCTATGCTCCTCCGCCAGCCAGAGTCCCTCACCCACCCCTCATCAGCTTCACCACCTTCCCCTTGGACAGAGAGCAGTTGGCCCAGAAGCTCACAGAACACATCTAGAAAGCAATATCAGAGGTCGTAACCATTATTAAAATATTATTTTCACAGAAATATAACAGACAATATTAAAATCTGTATGGGCCAAAAAAGACCCAGAATAGCCAAAGCCATCTTGAGAAAGAATTACAAATCTGGAGGCTTAACACTTTCTAATTTCAATCTATATTACCAAGATACAGTAATCAAAAGAGTATGGTACTGGCATAAAAACAAGTATAAATATCAGTGGAACTAAATAGAGACCCCAGAAATAAGCTCACACAAAACGGCCAATTAATTTATGACAAAGGATCCAAGAATATATAATGAGGAAAGGACAGTCTCTTTGAAAAATAGTATTGGAAAACTAGGCAGCCACATGCAAAAGAATAAAACTACTTTACACCATATGCAAAAATTAACTCAAAATACATTAAAGACTTGAATATAAGATCAAAAACCATGGAATTTCTAGAGGACAACATGGGCTAAAAACTCCTTGACATCAGTCTTGGCAATCGTTTTATGGATGTGTCACCAAAAGGGAAAAAGAGCAAAAATAAACAAGTGAGATTACATCAAACTAAAAAGTTTCCGCACAGCAAAAGTAACCATCAACAAAAGGAAAAGGCAACCTACTGAATGGGAAAACATATTTTCAAAGCATATATCCAATAAGGTATTTAAATATCCAAAATATATTTTATTAAAAATTCCTACAACAGAGTTCAGTTGCTCAGTTATGTCCAACTCTTTGCAGCCCCATGGACTGCAGCACGCCAGGCTTTGCTGTCCATCACCAACTCCCGGATCTTGCTCAAACTCATGTCATCCAACCATCTCATCTTCTGTCATCTCTTTCTCCTCTCGCCTTCAACCTTTCCCAGCATCAGGGTCTTTTCAAATGAGTCAGTTCTTCACATCAGATGGAAAAAGCATTGGAGCTTCAACTTCAGCATCAGTCCTTCCAATGAATATTCAGGACTGATTTCCTTTAGGATGGACTGGTTGGATCTCCTTGCAGTTCAGGGGACTCTCAAGAGTCTTCTCCAACACCACAGTTCAAAAGCATCAATTCTTCAGTGCT